TTATTTTGACTATGACTACGGGCCATTTTCCTGCGTCATAATAAGCATTTAGCACAAAAATTATGCAAATACTGACACGATAAATATTGAACATGTAGCATTCGTGCGCGATCCATCAATCCATCAATATGGATCGCGATCCGAATATCGTGATAATTACTGGCCGTGTGACAGAGCCCAAAGATCAGCCAATCAAATGTCAGCCAGCTGTCCAATTTTGACTCAGTTTACTTAAACTAAGTTTAAACTGGCATTGAAAAACTGGCCCTAGTTATCACTAGTTTCTGCTGGAAAGCGTTTCTTAACGGCGCGTTTGCATTAGACAATGCTGTCAAGACAATAAAGAAATACGTATTAGTTGTTAAAAACGCGGATAATAAGTAACTTATTTAGGGTTTACACCGCACAATGATATGTTTGTTGTAAACACGGTGAATTCATATTACAACAAACACATAATGTTGACATTATTGTCATGACAGTATTTTCTGGTGTAAACCCTAACTTAGGGTTCACGTTCAAGTTCGACGTTTTGCTCCTAATGAATTGTCTTAACTATTGTCAGGACGCCTACGCCACGGAGACAATTATCAGCGTTTTTGAAAACGAATACCTTTTTTTTATTGTATTGACAGCATTGTCCAATGTAAACGCGCCGTAAAGGACTACATGTTAATATAAAGCTGCCTTTACATGGGGCGATTGTTTGACTTGCTGTCTACTTTGAGGCAAGCGATTTTTGAATCACCATTTACACGACCGATTTTTTCAGAGCAATGTTGAACCGCCTGGAAAATCGCCTCATGTAAAGGCAGCTTACGGGCCAATTTTTCAGTGCCAGTTTAGACCTAGATTAAGTAAACTTAGTTTAAATTGACATTTTATGGGCTGATCTTAGTTTAAACTACTCAGATCGGGCGTTTCAATTCAGGTTCGTAAACCTCGTAAAGCTCGTAAATTTGCGAGCCTCGTAAAAGAACTGTAAACATTTTCTATTCCTATTCTCACCTTTTCACAAAGCGGGCGTTCCATGAACCAAAAATCAAGATCGCGCAAGAACGCGACGTTGTATTTGTAACTACAAGTAGTTTTGAGAAAATAGTTTGCGAAAGCGGGTTCGTCAGCTGAGCATTTGTTTACATCACAAGCTCCACTATTTCATACATTTCGTTAACTAAAAGACCGTTCGCACCAAGCGATTTTGCGTTCAACTCACGCAGGGTTGCATGAAAAAAATTGAATTGCTAAAAACATCAAGATATAAAAAAATATCAACATATTCGCCATAAAAAGGCATTGTTCAACTTTGCATTCTCCTTTTGGTCGAACGGCCTTTCAATTAATCGCTTTCAACAAAATTGGTCGCCAGTCAACCCTGAACGCGAAATTGCCTCGTAGGAACACCTTTTAAAGAAAAGTTAATTCAACATGATAACACGTACTAAAGCTTTTTAATTAATCGTTTTACCTAACTTGTGTGTTTAAAGTGGCTGACTATAATTTTGGTTAATTTGGGTTTTCTTTGTTTTCTTTGCTTTGTTTTACACGGTATAAGACTTTACGTGTGTAAGGGAATCCCCTAATATTCTCAATCAAAGCTCGTTTATTAATCACCTCGTTTACACAGGAAAATCTCAGATTGTTGGCCGTCAAATTGTTGTGTTTAGTCCCCTTTCAGACACGTCAAGTCTTGCTTTCAAGTCTGCTCGGTTCATTGGCGAAGGAGGTGAGATGAGAAGGGAAGAGTACATTCTTCGTCTCACCTCCTTCGCCTACGAACGAACAGACTTGAAATCAAGACTTGACGTGTCTGAAAGCGGTCTTATTCTCAAATCTCCATAAAAAGTTATGTTTCTTCTCTGTTGGTAGCGCTGCTTATTCATAGGTTGTATAATGATTGTTATTATTATATAAGCTTTCTCAAAAATAAAAATATGTTTCTTCTCTGTGCGACCTTCATGGGCGTACGCAGGTATGGCTAATAAAATTTACATTCAAAAAATCTTAGTTATGAAAAAGTGGTTTGGATATTTTAGTAAATGGTAAGGGTACTAATGTAAAGGCGCAAAACCCCCGTAAAGTGGACAAACTGTGCAATTTTAAACACTCGCAAATGAAATGTCAAAATTTTTATGGAAAGTAATTTGCACAAAAAATGCAACTTTGCGCAGCAATTTGGTCGCGCAAATCTGCGTAGTGCGCTGTGCAACCCTCAATCAGATATTTTGTTTACTTTCATTTCGATTTGTGCTCAACGCCTTTTAGAAATGATTGCGGTAAGACTTAAATATATACTTAAATTTGAGTTTCAACTTTTTAATAGTTTTTAACAAGGCATGAATCACTTTGAAACGAGTGTCGTTCAAACGATAATGACAAAACGATGTCATCAAAACACTGATTCATGTATTTGCGTTGCTGTTACGTGTTACTGTTACTGTTACGTGAAGCAAAACTAGAATTGTGTGGAGGATTTCGCACAAACGATCGAACAATTTTTGGCTCTAATGAAACAAGACAATCTCAGCACGATATCGTCCAGACGATTGTCGTCATACGTCATTCATGCCCAGTTTTTTTTTGTAATTGTCAAATAATAAATGTCAGAATTTGAACAAAATATAAAACTGTCCTCATGAAATATGAATGTAAAACTTGCGCGTATAGATGAGTGCTATGAAACGGTGGTTGCTGAAAACTATTTATTTATTTGTTTAATTATCTACCGGACACTGTTCTCACAGATAAACAGGAAAAAAATAACGCGTTATATAAAAATAGTCATAATATTTATACATACAGGATAACACCAACAACATGTATAAATTACTTGAAAATAAAATAATCATTGATATTAATTTTAAAACGTTCTCTACATGAGTAAAAGTCGACATAATTACAAATAGAGTTACATAGACAAATGGATCTGTGAATGGGAACAATTTGACCGTCCGAAATGATGCGCACACTTAACCAGATTATTTGCCGACCGTATTTGTACACACAAATCAAGTTTTCATTACAATTTTGTGAGCAGTAAAATATTTTGATACATTTTAATTGACATACTTTAAACATGTGATTTTATGTGTATTTTTTTTATTTTTGCACCCAATAAGTTAATTTTTCGCAGTCTATTTTGGTACTTTTCATCTGACATCGGACTAGAAAAACAAACATGTTTGAATTTATCGTCACTGACGGACATAAACGGCCGATGTCGGTTCGGTTATCGGTTTATGTGTGACTGGCCGTCTCCACAGGATAAAATTTATTGCTGCCCCGCTCTCATTTTGGTCGCTAGATATAAGTTATATTAGTGGCAATATTTGTGTGGGCTTTTTATATCTTGATATAAGCATTTGTAAGATAGCTTTCAAAATGTATTTTTGCCGGATTTAATCGCTTAAAAAATTTAGAAAATAGGCTATTTTACATCCAAGTACATAATTACAAATATTTTAAAAGGAAACAGCTAAATTTTTGCTTTTATATTAAAATAATAATGATGTTGCAGCCACGAAGATTTCGTGCAAATGAAAATGTAGCTGTCAAACTACCAAATTGCCGGCAATAGATGGCACGATATAAGCTCTGATATATATTGCTCTTGAAGAGTAATGAGCGGTCTCCATATGTATCAAGATATAAACTTTATCCTGTGGAGACGGGCAGTTACAGCGGTCATATAATCGCAAGTGTTTATTCATATCGCCCGCATATAGCCGATATCGGCCGAGCACAATTCGGCCGATGCCGGCTGCAGTGTGCGCGTAGCGTAAGAAGCCTCTCCGGCGCATAAAAAGGCAGAAGCGAAAGTAGTTCTGGGGGAATCGATTTTGTTATCGCATATATCCTTGATGAAAAGAATACTACAGATTTTTCTCCTATTAGAAAGGTATTGTAAATTCAGTATTCTGCATCTCCGTTCGTAAGATGGCATAGATTCATAAGAAAATATGCGTCGAAGGGCAAATTTAGTAAAACGCCTCTGAACTCTTTCTATGCGGTCAGAGTGAGTGACAAAATCGGAGTCCCAAATAATGCACGCGTATTCCAAAACAGATCTCACCAAGCATGTGTAAAGACTTATAAATGTGAGTGGATCTAAAAAGTCCTTTGAGTTACGTTTGAGAAAACCCAATTTAGTGTTTGCCGCACAGACTATGTATTAGTGGTATTCATCTAAACCGATAACTTTATCAAGCAGATAATCTTATAAGTTTACGCACTCTGGTACATGAACGACCCACACTCTCTTTTCATTTACACATGCGACAATAGTCGTGTTTTCTTTGGTTATAGAGCTCAGTATCACTAACGTTATACTACTAGCACGGGGATAAAGAAATTTTAGAAACTACCTAACTATATTGGAAAAAATTATATTTACGAGATATCTATTTAAATAAATGTACATATAACATAAAGGCTATTTATTTGAAGCAAGTTATAAGAAACAATGGCAGAATGTCTGTTTGTGTGTGAATTCATTTGTCACGGCTACCAAACTTTGCGAATTATCAGTGAAACAAAACAAACAGACGGGATAATAATTGAACCAGATCTCTATCAGGATCATATCGTTGTTGAATTTGCGTGCAAAATTTTTATGCCGATACCGATTATTGCCTAAGAAAACATAGCTAGAGTTGCGACAGAGTTGCATTGTCTTCAGTTTATCAAGTTTATTCAGTGAAATCGCTGGATAAATTTATCAGAAATGTGTAAACGAGTTTCCATACAAATTTTGACAGTTCATTTATAAGGTTTACACAATTATAAGTTTATACGGTTTACAATGCATTTATAAGGTTTGATGAATACCCTTATTGTATTTATAATTGTCCGGACTCCTACTTTACAAAACAATTTGACAACTAATACATATTCTCAATTGTCTTGTCTGAAATTGTCTTATGTAAACGCAGCGTAAAATCTTGCCATTCGTATTCACAATGGCTAACTGCATTTTGAACCAACGTCAAACACAGCAACCCTGCTACGGCTTTGTTGGATTTTTTTTATTCGAATTTTTCATTCACGATTTTCAAAAAAAGTTCTGCTTCATACCAGAGTAATTATTTAAAAAAATGACCGCGCACTTGGCAAATGTTTATGCGTCCTTGTTACGAAGATATGGTGAATCTTATACACTCATTTATACGGAGCCTCCATCCTATTTATCCAAGATTGTTGGTCCGGATGATTATGCTGGTAAAGTGGTGTATTTTTATATCGAGGTTAGCTCATTCCGCTTCTGAACAGTCGGATATTTATGTTAATGTGCATTTTTTAGGATCGTAGCAAAATGGCTAATGCCTACGCATCCCAATCCAATATTCTCTTGAAAAACAACGAAGGCGTTAGTAAGGCTGATATGGACCTCACAGGCAGTCCACTTAAGGACGATTGTGTAGTAGAAGCTATCGAAGATATTTCACTAAACATAAGGATAGACTTAGCAAATCCATGGCTCAAGCAAGAAGAATGCCACAAAGGAATTAACGTAGAGAAAGCACGTGCTATCATTTGTAAAGAGGAATTTCAGAGTGTTGATCCCGAAGCAACGGGCTCCATTTGGATACTCTGCAACGGAGCAGATGCCGAGAAAACATTAATGTTGCAATATGACTTCTCACCAGGATGCTTTAATCGGGGTATAGTCACCTGCCAAGGTATAATACCCACATTCGAAGTAAATACACAATCGTTAATGCGTCAGCATTTGGCCCTCATTACCGGAAGTACGACGGCACAAGTAGAAACCTATATAGAGAACACCTATCAAATTAAACCTCACATATCTGTACGCTGCAGTTGGTCTTCGACAGCAGCATCACCTTCTTTGGTGGATTTGACATCATGTGACGTTACTTTGCGTCAGTCCTTTTGTTTAAGCTCCTGCAATGAATTAACTGAAGATTTTATGAATCAGTTGCGCATATTGACAGTAATAAGAAATGATATTATCGCATACAAGTGCGTAGACAATGGTGACGCTGATGGTCGTAATGAAGCGCTGGTGTATCGTTGTGGCTAGTCAGTATGACGTTTAAGTTGATTTTGTTTGGATTAATATATGTATATATATTTTTTTCAATGCAGTGGCATCGACGTGGACGAATTACGTGAAAATATCAGCAAAGCAGTTACGGAAATTGCAGGTTTTGGTGTAATTGACACCACAGAAAGTGGGGTAGAGTGCGATATTGAAGCAGTTGTGCAGCGTGTAAAGATCAGGCGTCTTACTGATCTCACCGACAAGTTATGGGAGATCTTGAAACGTAAGAATAATTAACATACAAGTTTTTTAAATTCCTTGTATCTCTTTGATAGGTTGTTCTTCATATAAAGACTTAAAAATGGCATTTACGATGTTATTTAAGTGTGCGGCCCACTGCAATATTGTGGTAAGTGTTTTTTAGAGGTCAATATCTTAACACAGTAAGCCTTAAGCTTAAAAAGTGAGTCTTATTGGGAATTTACATGAGGCGATTTTACAGACAACTTTTAGCTGAATGCAGCAGTTGCTTGGTGTAAATGATCTTTCACATCATCGCTTTCAATGAAGTTGAAAATAACCGGATTCTAAAATTTGATATAGTTAATTTTGATCACAAAAAATCTCCAAAAGAATAGCAGGCGCCCCTAACAGCACGCTACATTTAATTACATGCCCCCTATCGCGAGATTTGGCTGATTATACATTGCACGTGTTACTCTTCCATGTTATATACCTTAAGGCCGCACTGCTTTTCATTTAGAAAACTTTAGCGACAAAAATTTGGCTTAGCGATTGTCACAATTCCACTGCAGCTGGCCACTTTCGTTCAACTTTGGATTCAACTAATTGCCTATGACAGTTGAATCATGTGAATTCCCTGTTAGCTCCGACTTTATTTTCAACTCACTTTATCAGTCCAAAAATTGAGTCTGAGCTTAACCTCTCTTTTTGTTTGTATGGTGCCCATTATTTACACCTAAAATGTTAAGTCTTAACATGTCTCGCCCCTGAATAAATAACAATTGATCCTTTTGATTAAGGTTTATTGAACAGAAAACTATAATCACTTGAGTGTATGTAAACTTATGGATTGCGTGTTTACTTTTGCTTTTCTCCTCTCCTATGTTCACTTGCCTTGCA